CCACATTTACACATGCAGCAGTTTTAACATATGGGCCAGCCTTTGTATTTTTTATTTCATTTAAATGTTTTAATGTATATCTTTAGTTTTTGGCGGATGAAAGGACATGAGAGTTAATTGTTTTTGTTTGCTATGCTGGACATTGACACTGACTGGAATCTCAGTGGCATATGAATCACTCCCATTTGTTTCAGGTTCCTCTGGTGTATAAAATTGCACTGTTTTGCATGCAAAAACATTTGTGCCACTAGACTAGATAAACTAATGCAGTGTTTTTGTTTTACTGACCTGTTGGCAGTTTTACAAAACATAATTATAATGGTGTGTTCTTAAAAAGCATTTTGTGACTCCTCAGACAGAAGTACTGTTATGTTGGAAGAGGTTATAAAAAATGGTTCTAAAATACAGTATTAAGGTAGGACATTTTCCTTGGCCCATGGGCCATTTCACATAGTTAACACATGTTGAACCCATGTTTACATGGTTTAACCCACGTTTTAGTTTTAATGTGAGTACGGGTGGGAAGTATCATGTCTTTTTCATTTAAAGCAAAGTCATTATATAGACATGAGAAAGGCAATATATTTAATACCCTATCCATGTAACATAAATCAATTTTAGACNGCAAATAGAGGATCCGGGTTTGTTATTTTCAGTCACTTGAGCGCTGTAGGATTGCTTGTCAAACACAGGTAAGTTGTCATTAACGTCTGACACCGATAACTGAATTGTCTTCGATGAAGACAACGGTGGAGATCCCTCGTCGGTGGCAGTGATTGTTATACTGTAATCTGTCACTACCTCACGATCCAGCTCGCTGGTTGTTACCAATGAATAATAATGTTTAATTGACGGTAATAGTTTAAAAGGAACATTGTGTTGAATTGAGCAACGAATATTTTTATTTTCTGCAGAGTCGTTATCTTGCACATTAATAATACCCACTTCTGTTCCAGGTGACGAGTTTTCGGGAACGGGGTTGTTCAGTGACTTAAGAAATATCACCGGCGCATTGTCATTCACATCGGTAATTTCGATTATAACTTTAGTATTTGCTGCCAAACCTGATCCGTCTCTAGCCAGAATTTGCAACTCATAGTGGGATTCTTCTTCAAAGTCGACACTCCCTATTGTTTTAATTTCCCCCGTTTTCTTGTTAATTGTAAATAATCTCTTTACCTTATCCGAAACACGACCGAAATCATACGTCACTTCTCCGTTCGGTCCCTCGTCTTTATCCGTAGCACTAACTGTGACCACTATAAAATCTAACGGTGAGTTTTCAGGCAGACTGACTTTATACACAGCTTGGCTAAACACGGGTATATTATCATTAACATCCAGCACAGTGACGTGTATTACTGCTGTACCCGATCTCTGCGGAGTCCCACCGTCACTGGCGGTCAGTAATAGTGTAATCTCTTGCTGTTGTTCACGATCCAGCTCTTTTTCTAATACCAGCTCAGCGTATTTTCCTCCATCTGCATTTGTATTAACAATCAACACAAAATGATCATTATTCTGCAAAGTATACGTTTCAACTGCGTTTTTCCCGATGTCTGGGTCATGCGCCTCATCCAAGAGAAAACGAGCGCCTTTTAAAGCCGATTCTATTATCTCAAATTCAGTACGATCATTTGTAAATTGTGGTAAATTGTCGTTTATGTCCTCAATATGTATTACTATATGATGCAGTTCTAGCGGAATTTCAAGTATCAGCTCGTATTTTAAAGTGCACGAGACTCTCGATCCACA